TGTGAAGTTAAGTACACGACGGCTCTCTCTCTCTCTCTCTCTCTCTCTTTGAGTGTGAGTGTGTGTGCTCGTGGATGCTTGTGTGGGCGCACACACATGCCCACTCCCAAGCTCTTGCAGTTATATCACTGATTATCTTTGATGTAATGGTGCAGGCTTTGATATGTTCGGTGGCAGTTTTGATTGTTGCACTTGTTGTGTTCTTGTAGCCGATCCCAAATAGTTGGGATAAGACTCGGACGATGATGACTTGCTGTGTTATTGGAGTGCTCACGCTACCAGATTCTGCACCATGTTGCTCCATTAGGCATGGCTTAGTCATGCACACTTGTTGTTCTTAGGCATGACTTATTCACGCACTCTGACTTCAATTATCATCAAACGTTTGCTTGTTTTTACATGGGGCATGAGGTTTCCAGTACTAGAAGCACATTTGACTGGCTGGTGGCTTTCTAGTGCAGGTCTCTTCAAAACCAATTAGATGCCAGTTTGATTCTCGACTGAGTTTGCTCCTTTCAGGTTTAACAGGTAGCTGAATGCTTGCATGTGGTGGAATAAATTGTTTCAGAGGAGGAGCCTAAGCCTTGTGATTTATGTTGTATTTAGTGTATGTACAAAAATTTGGCATTCTTTTAACATTTGTACCAAGTTGGTGCACTTTGTGGGTGAGTGTTGGCAGTGCAAGGTGGTTGTGTTTCTGTGGAAAGGGCTTTCCACCTCTTTCCATATGTTTTTTTTTTTAATCTTTTTTTTGCTTATTTTAGCAATTCTGCATATGTTATATGCTTCATTTAGAATGTCTATTCAATCAACTATGCCGTCAATCCTATGTTCTCTCAAGTCTGATTATGCTACTATTTATTAGTTTTTCTTCAACTTAGTGATAGACATATTGGGGTTCAATCTTGAAGATTGTCCCAAAACCGCAAGTAAGCTAACCTACCTTTTTGGGCTAGTTAGTTTAATTTTCATGATGTTGAATGTTAATGTTCTTTTGTGAGGGGATGATTCATTACGGGAAACTATTTACGCTAGCACCTGAGTTTCCTACATTTCGCTGGCATCATCCCAGCATTCAGATGTCAATAAGGAATGTCTAGGGTGTTTAGTTCCTCCATTCAAGGTTTTGTCAAAATATTTGACGGACTTTGAGCATAGGGATGATACACTGCAGGCATCGTCTGTTGAGATTGGATTATGGGGTGATGCTAGCAAACTAGGAAACTCAAGTACAAGCACTGGGAATGAACCCATTCATTATTATATTAATCACAACTTTTTTTCTAAATAGGCTCAGGGATGCTCCTGAATTCAAAACATACTAACTAGATTCTTAGTTTAAATCAAAACAGTTCCAAGGTTGGATATACTCAGTTGTTTAGATTTCTGACGTTTCGAACTGCAAAGGAACTTCAAGATTGCCTACAGGTTATCCTCTGGTTCTTGATTACTCGAATTCATATTTAATCTTCTTTATTTGTTGAGGTTCCTGGTTTTCTGAGTGGCAAATGAACTCTCCAATTTCTTGTTAGGAGATTGCCTTCTGATATATCTTTTTGTACATCTGGGTAAGTTGCTTTCCCATTTACCAAATTTAAGATGTTTGTGTGACCTGGATCAGGGGAACTGTAGTTTGCAACATGTTGATCTCTTGGGTTCACTCTGACCAGTAACTTTTTCCTGTGGATTTTGAGGATTGGGTCAAATACAACTTTCAGGGACGCTTATTTGGAAGCTTTTTGGAGCATAAAGAACATGAATTAGATTACATGACTATCAAATGACATCCTGATAATCTTTGAGAATCTGATCCACACTAAAGGTGACATGTCTCCCTCATCTCTGTTATAATCAACCCAAGTTGACTATTTCCATCCCTCTGAGGGTTCTTGATTGAGTCACTACTTTAAAAACCCTTTTCAGGAAATAAAGAGAGGCTAAACACCTTCCAGAGTCTTCTACGTCCAGGGCTTTTAGTTTCTGTTTTGATTATCTCTTCATTATTTCTAAATATTGGATTATATGACTTTTTAGGTTTTTTGAAATCTTTCAACTTTTTAGTTGTTGTTTTCCTTTTAGTTGTTTAGAGATTTCTAAATATTGGATTATTTTACAAGGATTTGTAAACGATGATTTTCTACTAGCCATAGAATTTGAAAATATTATTGAAAATCATTTGTAAATAATGTTTTGTTATGTGGATGAGGGTTATTAGGGCTTGTAATTCTCTGGAATATTGGCTTCCTGGCGCACATTTGCTCGATGATAAATCTTGAATTGATCTATGGTGATTTACGTCTGTTGTTGTCTTGTTTCAGTCTTTTTCTGCCCTTTTCTTTTGCTTTTATTCTATTTTTTTATTCTCCTTTATTTTCTTGTCACCTTTATTCCATTCTATTTCGCTTTCAGTACATTTCTCTTGGACTATTTCTTGACAGTTTGGTCTTTCTTCTTTTCATCTCCATCCTTCTGTAATTCTTATTACTTCCTTTATAGCTTCACCACTGTTTGCTTTCAAGAAATGGTTTCCTCTTATCTCTGAAGTCCTTTCATGCTTCCCTTGGCTTTTGGCCTTCCTTTCTTAAAGACCTGTTGCCTTGTGGCCTTGATCCGAAGCAAACTTCTTTGGCCTTATTGAACTCCTACTAATGACAGAAGTGGATACTATTAGATACAGCTTGAGAAAGGTAGCATCCTTGGGATATGCATTGAGAGGTCCACTAGTCTTTTAGGACGTGACATGCTTTCAGGTTTAATAAACCAGTAGTGCGATCATAAAAGGTATTCGAACAGTTCCGATATTACCTCTTTTAGGAAATAAATTTGCTTTTGGTTGCTTGAGTCATGCAATTTGAATATTCTTGGATCCCTTTGTGCCGAATGCTTCTTACCCCAAGTTGCAGAAAGGATATGGAAATTGTATTAAATGGGCTTTGGAGGCTTTGCCCAAGGAGAGTTTTGAAATAAAGCGCCATCCAATTGTTTTAGTGCCCAAGAAAACTGATGAATCCTCGGCTTTTTTTGGGGTAGGTAGGCATTATTCCAACTTTGGACACAGGGCCTCAGCGATCTTTTCGGTACTTTCTCTCTCCGATCTCCATTTCTTCATCATGGACGTTCCTTCCACTTTTCCTTCCATTTCTTTTTTCTTCTTCCTTCTGTTTGTTTTTGTTCTTCCTTTATCTCCTGTCCTTTCGTATTATGGTTTTATCTTTCTTCTTTGTCTGGCATGTCTTCTCTTTCTCCACATGTTTTACCACCTCTTAAAGTTTATTCTTACTTCTTCGTTTATATTTTTTTTCTCTTGTCTTCTACTCTCTTTATTTGTTTATTTTCTGTCTTCCTTACTCTGAGCTTTTCTTCTCTTCCATATCTTGTGTTTTATCTCTCCACCTTTTTCTTTTACTTCTTTCCCTTAGTAGCTCTTTTCAAAAAGCTTATCTTTCACCTCTTTGGTCATCATTCCTTGAGGAGTACGCGTTCTTCATTAATCATTGTATATGCATTTCTTGTTTTTTATCTTTTTATTGAGTATCAGTGCTCTCTCAAAAGACAATAGTGGTGCATCTTGGAAATGAAGTACTTTCTATAAGTATTGGAGGCTCCTTTTAAGGGGCAGCGTTTTGTACTTAAATCGCAAATAGGAATTTTGGGTTGTGTGGATGATGAGAAAAGGATGAATGGATACAGTACTTGCTTATTTACTTCATCCGATAACTCCCTTTCTTTCACTCTCTTTTTTTTTTGCCATTTACTTCATCAGGTAACTCCCTTTCTTTCACTCTTTTTTTTTTGCCTTTTTATTTCTTTCACTATTGTAACCTATTGAATATGCTTGAAAAGTAAATGTTGTTGTGGTACTTGTTTGAGTTGGCTGCATTGAGAATTTGAGATGTTATTGCGAAGTCACGAATTCCTATTTGGCACCCAAACCAAATAAAATAGGACCGAAACTCATACTTGTCAGGCTTTTGTTTTCTTGTTTCTTAGAATCAATGGTGTAAGACATCTATATCTCATATCAAGTCCCTTGCTGGGAATGAGAATGTATCTAGTTATTTAAATGTGTTACGTTATTCGGATTGCGGGAGGTTTTCTGGGCGTTTTAAGTGTAGAATGGCTGAACCCTGGCTCCCCATCCTTCATAGACTTTCCTTTCAGTTTCTTTCAAAGGTTTTTAAAATCATAGTCCATAGTTCTGAACAATTTTTGAAACAATGATTTCTTGACCAATTTGCGGGTTCAGACAAAATTGAGTGGCTTCATGCACAATATCAGTGCTATTGCTTGCTCGTGTTACCAATAGGATCAAATAAGTTACAGATCCCCCAAAAAAGATAATTCGGAGAGGCACCAACTGATAAACACTATTACGTTGTACTTCGAAAAATTTCACATGATATATGTTCTGTCTGTGCTTTGAAAGCAGTGGCCCTACTCAATCTTAAATTCATTGTAGGGAAGGTACCCAAATTGTGAGATAAGTTCATCGTAGGAAAGGTACCCAAATTGTGAGATAAATTCATTGCAAGGAAGGTACCCAAATTGTGAGACTTATATAATGTAATCACAAGAGGAAAAGGCTTCTATACTTCAACTATGCTTCCCTTACCATCCAGCCATCTAATTTTGATCAAAAGAGCTACTCACCGTTTGATCTTAAATCTGACGTCTCAATGTATTTTATTTTTAATTTTTTTTTTATACAAATTGTATAAATATGAAATTTGGTATGTGTCATCTTCCCATTGGACGTACCGATAAAAAATATTAAAAAATATTTTTTGATAAAATGTAATGACCATAATATCCCTTGAAACTTTCAAGGGTATTTTGATCATTTTATATTATTGAAAATATTTATTCATGCGAGTTTAAAAAGGATTGGACGTTCAAAATTTGGTGTCAAAATAATTTATAAAAAATAAAAATAAAAACAAAATAGTGTAAAAACATTTAGAATGGTGGGTTGAATAAGGGGAAGTATATAAGTTTTATGTTCTAGAAGAAACGTAGAAAGCTTGCCCATCACAACAATCAATAATAAATACCAAACCTGACAGAGAGAGTATGCTGTAATAAAACAAGAATGTGATATTGAATAGTTAAATGGAATAATGCCGGTGATCAGGTGAGAAAAGCCTGAAACGGGTGGGGGGTCCTTTTTCCCCCATTGGTCAGTGGGCAGGACAGGGGGATCCCCACCATCCAATGAGCTGATCCACAAATCCGATGCTGGCCATAGGAAGTGGGAACTGCCCACCATTTCCTAAGGTCGGTATTGACCTCCACATTTTCCCATTGGGAAAATCCTGGAATGCAGGCAGTTCGAATGCTCTCTCTCTCTTTCTCTCTACACGCATATCAAGAGCAATGCAAGGGGGAGGGAACATTAAGAAGGTTGGTATCTGTTACTGTAGTCAGAGTCCTCAAATGAAAATTATACACAAAAAAATGGGAATTAGGGAGTATTGAATATTGCATATGGAGGCTTATAGATATTAAAAGCAGGAAATTCAAACAAGACGCAATAAAAAAGACATCTTTCATTTAGCGAATAAATACTTCATGAAGTTCAATTCAACCCCTTAAGGTTCTGTAGTGACTGTCTCGCTTTTACAAACATCCACAGATGATGAATTGCGAAGTTCCTCCAGCTGGAAGAAATTAAAAAAGAAAATTGTGCAACAAAGTCAGATGTGAATAGTTGCAAACTTCAGAAAAGCTGCAACTGCCAAGCTAATTTTAGAATACCGTGACAACAAAGACACCAGATTGATACAAGTGAGATTTATGATTTGCCTAACCCTCACTTATTCCTAACAGTTTTGTATAGTTTTAGGGTCTACTAAGTATCCTTTTTGTGTTGTTTCTCTTTTTCTTCAACATGCACAAACGGATAAGAATATCGTGACTGGTAAACCAATTGATATGGAAAATGACATCGACTTTTCTATCTACCAAAAGTAAAACGATTGATTTGGGGTGGAACAGTTCTCAAACCCAAAGAAAATGATGACTTTGAACCTCACAGTAAAATACACAGGGAGGGATCTAACACGCAGAGGCAAACACCATGTCCAATTCCACAAATGTAACCAAATAGAAGAATTTCTCTGGATGATGCTCCAGTCGAGATTAAAAGAGGCACAGAATATTCGAATAAAGCTTACATGGTTAAAAAACAAACAAGTGCCAAACGCACATTGCTAGGTTTCTTTTTTGTTGTAAGTTTCTGTTTTATTCATAGGATTAAAGCACAAGAGATGAGATTGGGGTGGGCAGTTAAAATGGGTAAGAAATTTCCACTTGACCAACTCCGTTGTGCCCAATTCCAATAGGATAGCCCATAACATAAAACACTTGGCTCAGGGCATACATGACTTACTTTCGGATATTCTATATCTCTGAAAATGTTCAAGTGCCAAATGCACATTGCTAGGTTTCTTTTTTCGCTAAGCAAAGAACATCCCAATACTGATCAGGTTTTGTCCAGTAAAATTTTTATAACACAATCTATCATCTTTAAGGCCACCAGCACTATATGACCATGGGTTCCTGGTCTTGCATCCCATATGTTCTCAATTTTGATCTGCAATTCATATGAAACTTTAAGCAGCCCTCTTAAAGGGCTCAACCGAATTGTACAATATTTCCTTCTCTCTATTTTTCCAATTTGTCTAGCATTTTTGGGCTTTTTTGTAAGACTTGGACAAGACTTTGGGTTCAAGTCCCAGGTAAACTTGCGAAGGTCCTCAGCTGAGTCTCAAATCATGGACTCGTTTCCAAATATTAGGTTTTGGGGCATGTTGAATGTAAACAAATAAAAACAGACTATTTATTAATATCGTAGACATAGATGCTCAGATTAAAAAAAAAAATTGTAGACATATATGCTGGAGTTTAAGTGAAGATTTTGTTACCTCCTTGCACTTATCCTGGTGTATTGCCAAAAGCTCATCATATTTCAACTGCAAATCTGCTTTCTCTGCTTGTAGCTTTTCATATTCTGAAACTGATGGACCCCCTAAACTGCGTTGGATGAACCTATATGATGCATCAACAAATTTCAGGCAAGTACAAAATACACCTTATGTACCTCCCATTCAGAAAAGATATCTTTGAGTAAGTTGAGACCCAGTAATAGAGGGCTGGGTGATCTACAAAAGCAGAAACGAATGCAAGATAAACTGCAAATCCCCATAAAATATATATTTCTTCAATTCCCATTGTCCTGTCTCATGCAATATACTAAATAGAAAGGCATAATGTAGAGTGAAATCTATGAATTCTATGATATTTGATTGGCATTAACGTTGGCAGGCAACACAATTAATCAAAACTTGATATCCAGAGCCTTGTTCAACTATCAAGTCTCTTTCCTGAGAAATATGACAATTAGCCTGTACTAGGCAGAGCATATACTGGCTAAAGGCATCATTTCAGCATGAACTATCCATGCAAGTACTTCACCTCATATGAGACATCAAGAAGCAAGATTCAAATTTCAGATCATTATTAGGCCATTCATTTTTTAGTTATCCATTTACTGTTTCTTATTCTGCCAGCAAAAACATTGGGTGGCAACATGGACAAATTTGGTTTACTGCTTGGTCACCCACAATATTGAGTGGATTATATAAAATGAGTGGCCAAATCTGCCCTGTTCTCAATCATCATCATCATTTTAGCCTTGTCCCAATTATTTGGGGTCGGCATACATAATCTTGATTCGTCATTTTGCTCTATTAAAGGCCATATCCTCAGAGAGGCCATAAGTCCCCATATCTTTTCGGACTACTTCCAACCATGTCCTTTTGGGCCTACCTCTTGCCTTTTCAGTTCTTCTACTTGAACTAACTTGTACCTCCTAACAGGTGATGTACTTGGTCATTGCCACACATGGTCAGCCCACCTAAATCTACTCTCTCTCATTTTATCGCCTATTGGTGTCATGCCTAAATTCCTCTTGCATATATTCATTTTGAATTCTATCCCTTCTTGTCTTTCCACTCATCCATCTCAATATCCTCATTTCCACTACACTCATTCTATGAGTATATTGTTTTTTGTCCGTTCAACATTCTGTCCAGAAAGCAAAGCTAGTCTCACCGTTGTCTTATAGAGCTTGCCCTTCAGCCTCATTAGTATGCGACAATCACATAAAATTCTAGTTGCACAACTCCACTTCGCCCACCCAACTCTAATTCTGTGTGTGACATCTTCATTGAACTCTCCATTTTCCTGGATTATCAACCCAAGATATCGAAAGTGCGGTTTTTTGAACTTCCTGGCCATCAATCTTGACTACTTCCTTGTCTCTACTCCTATTATTACTAAACTTGCACTCCATATACTATGCCTTTGTCCGACTAGTCTTAAAACCTTTTGGATTCTCGAGCATCCCTCCAAAGTTCTAACTTTGTATTTTGAGTATTTAAGCCGTTTCGGGTCACATCAATCAAAACCATTTCAGTCATGTTCTCAATATAAACAATACTAATATTCATGACTCTCTACATAACAACAAAAATATCAAAAATGGAAACTTTGAAAGTGCTATGCAGGTCAGAAGCTGTTCATGACAGTCTTCTTTTCTTTTTTTTTTGAAGTTAACATTGTATTAATAATAAGCATGTACAAGTACAAAAAATGGCATGCCACGCAAGGGAGAAATATGACTAATTCTAGGCTTTTCATGGAATAAGAACACTTAAGCCGAATTCAAATATGGGAAGACTTGCATACACCTATTTTCCCATATGCCACTCTCAAAAGACCATATTTGTCCAAACAGGATTTGTTTGCCTCAAAGTTTGGGGATGGTGTTAAATACACTAGATGAACGCCTAAAAAGAAAAAGAAAATGATTTCAACCACATCTAGCCCTAGATCTAACAGTACACCAAAACAGACAGCTGATGTTAACCCAATATCTCTCTCTCTTCAGAAAACCATTTTTTTTTTTCCAATTTCTTTTATGGGCATGTTCACTAGGGGCAGCACAGGAGGTGGGGGCTAACTTTTCTACAGCATTAGCCTAGTGGGTAAGTAAGTTTTTTTCTTCAAAGATATGCTAGCAAGCTGTCATATACATTTTCAATTCAAATGATTTGATAAAGGGCAACAAGAACTACATTTCAATTCACTGCAAACAGAAATTGCTTACCAAAGAAACAAACATATAACCATTCTAATACAGAGAAAAAGAAAAAGACTTACTCAATTGCAACCGATGGCTTTTCATTCTCTTCATAAAGGGCAACAAGAACTACATTGATATCAAATTGAAAGAGTTAGCTCAACAAAAGCAGGAATATGCAATCAACTACCACTTGGTATTCCAAGGTGAAAGAATGACCACAAAACCTTTGGTAAGAGCATCTAATACTCCACTTGATTCCAGATATTTTCTAAAAGCTTCCTTTTTAGCTTCATTTGCCTGCATTCAAGAGCGATATAAGATGACAACCAAAGAACCACAAGCCAAGTAAAACTGATATTAAGTATTATTGAGATACTTTATCCAAACAAAATGAAAGAAAAGAAAGGATTAATAAGATCATATGGACACAACTTTAGACATTACTAGCAATGTTCAGGGACTCGGCTAATTCGACTCAGACTCAACCCCTTGCGAGCCGAGTATTCGCGTAAGACTCAAGGTAATTAAAAAAGTAAAAAAGATATAAAAGTATATTAAATTGTGAAATCAATGTAAAAGTATTTTATAACAATTTGGATGTTTTTGATGATGACTTGTGAGTTTTTCTTGTCATATGCCCTACTTTTATATTTTCCCATTTTTTTGTATTTTTCTGAAATGTTTCCAACTTTATGTCATTTTTTTTTTAAGGAAAAGTTTATATAAGGTTGACACCTTAAAACATAGAATTAAGGTGCACCTCTAAAAGCCTTTGAAAAAGGTTGTTTTGATATTAGAAAAACATCTAATTGATCATCTTGATATCGAGATGTATAGATATGGAGAAAAAAAGAGATTTCAAGTCCTAAAAATAGTACATCTTGCAACACATTATTTGGACCGTCCATTTTCAAGATATTCATCCATTTATAGTTTGGAAAAGTATACAAGGAAACCATTTATCTTTGGTACAAGGTGGTCACAATTAATCTTGACCATTTGTGAAATTGGGTGGCTACATTTATTGCATCGACCAAGCTCAAAGTTCAAAAGAATCTTTCTTGACCTTTGCAACGCATCCAAGCTATCTGATTTCATATCAGATGGTTATAAGTAATTGTGACCTCCTTGTATCAATGGTAAATGATCTCATTGTATACAATCCCTTATACTTTTACTTGATTTGAACCATTTTAGGAGTTTAAAATTTTATAATTAGAAATAAAAAAAGATACTCGCACCATCCTAAGAAATTTTGGCACCAAAATTGCATCTCATGGCAAAGTTTGGAAGTGCACCTTAGTTTAATTGTTTAAGGTTGCAACCTTATGCAAACCACACCCTTTTCTAAATCCAGTTTTATATAATTCTTCCAGTTTATTTGGACTTTCTATTGTTGTTTTTCTTTTTAGTTTGATTTTTACTATTTTTATATTATTCTTAATATTCTTTTAGGGATTTTTTTCTCCTTGTACACTACAGTTCACTTGGACTCACCCAAGTACCTCAGCTCGGGCAGGGCCGAGTCTCGAGCGCAAGCTGATTTCTGAACATTGAATACTGGTTTAAAGGGTGTCTATAGATTGAATCATATGGCAATTGAATGTCTATAGAGTGCATAAGATCCACAAGAACTTCATTTAAAATTCAAATGTGCAGGTTCTCCTCACTCTAGTTTACTAAGAATATCTCAGACTGATGGTGTATTTGCAATTGGTAACAATATAACTTGCATTCCCTTTTCTAATAAAGGATTCATGAACACAAAAATGAGGAAACCCATCTCCAAACCAGATCACAATTTATCATAATATAGTTGGCCAGCACTGCAGCCTTTCAAAATAACATAATTGCAGGTGAGATCCCTAATTCCTTGTCTGATGCCACACCCAATAATTTTACAAGAGAAATCACACCTAAAGATTTCGTCGAAAAAAATGGTTATAACTGAAATTCCAAAGATCTAAAGATAGGACAACCCAAAATATAACACTCCCAAAAGATCCAGCAAGGACCCAGATCTTAGGTAAGAAGATGCCAAAAACTGAGCCCCAACTTAATTATTCACGTCAACATAAAGAATGAACAAGAGTATGTAACTTTGAGATAAATGCACATTAAAGATCACACCTGCAAATATCACAGAAGTTGCGGACTAATAATAGGCGAAACCAACAATCCATTTACCAAAAATTTCACAATAATTTCAGGCCAAATGGGAAGGAGAACAATTATAGAAAACCATCATCAGATCAATGTAAATAAACTCAAATTCGACATTGACCCAGATCAAATGAGAACAAAGGAAAGATTAAGAAAGCAATAACAGAATAAAATACGTTTTGCATCTTCCACTTGAGAGAGAGGGAGATATATAAAAATGGTGAAGATGGACTCACCATTTTCAAAGGAGAAAAAGAAAGGAGAGAAGAACCAAATGCTTGGAGGCTTTCTTGTTTTCAAGGCTCATAAAGTCTGAGCAGAGGCGTGAAGTAGCAGCGGTCACGGGAAGCGTCAGCCATACCCATCCCCTCTCTCACTACTCTCTACTCTCTACTCTCTACTCTCTACTCTCTACTCTCTACTCTCTCTCTCTCTAGTCAAAATAGAGGACCGCCATACCTCTCTCTCTCTCCTTCCCTCCTGTCTCTCTCTACTCCGGTCTCCCTTTCTCTCTCTAGTTCTGTCTCTCTCTCTCTACCCCGGTCTCTCTTTCTCTCTCTTGGTGTCTTTCTCTGTCTTAGTGATATAAGTGAGGTGAGTGTCGTAATCGTAAGAGGGAAATAGAGGTCGTTTATGTACGAACCAGACGAAATCCTGTTATTTTAGAGAAACTCACGAATCCGTCATTTTCAGTGGAGTGAGTAGCGCACCCAGCATTTTAATATTCCACCAAGTACGACAAAATTCGTGTGGATTACTAAAATAGTGGGTGCCCAAGTTGTTACAGATTGTGAAAAGGACGTTACAAGATACCAATTAACCCTAGTGGGTTTATTTTACGGAAATTGTTTTATGCGTACACAGTGTGAAGCTGCCGCTCAAAAGTTATGAACAAATCATTTTAGTAAGTTTATGTAAGATTGCAACCTAAACCTAAAGAAGTGTTCGCCTAAAAATCTAATGCAAACGAGTGTTTTGAAATTAAAAAACCTTCCAATTGATCATCTCAATCTTGATATAAAAAAGTTTAACTCTTAAAAATAAATAATGTAGCTTGTCAAAGTTATCTGGACAATCTATTTTCAAAATTTTCATATGTTTTTTAAAATTTTAAATTTTGTAATGGACAATGATTTTTGTAAGTCCTTTAACTTATATGGGAAATGCACCGCCTTCTCAATAACCTAGTTTTGAAATGGATTTTTTTAAGGAGCTTACAATCTCTAACCTAGAGATCATTAACATGTAAAAACAACATAAATTTTGAAAACTAAAATATAATTTTTTTTAAGTAAATATTTGAACCATTGATTTAAATTTTTTTTTGAAAATAACTATTTACATCTCAAATATTTGAGATCGATGGCTTATACCGCAAGGGATACAAGTGTAAGAATGTGTTCCCCGATGCATATAACACTTTACTTTTCATGATTAAGTTTAAGTACGCATTTTCAAGCCAACCAAAGGTTTTCCAGAATCTACATCTTCCAACAAAATCGAGAGGTTTGGCTTACTTGTACCGCCTTATAAAAACTTTGCCCTTTATTACCTCATATAAACCTCACCTTTTTAGCAAAGGGTGAGGCTCATATAAGGTGCACACTTCATATTGTATATGTAACGTACCCCCTAAATTTTATTGGAAGATGTAGTTCAGATATTGAAAACTTTATGATGGTTTGAAAATTCATCTACAACCTTAATTCATCATCATCACTATTTTAGTTTTTTTTCAATTAATTGGGGTCAGTTACATTAATTCTGGTTTTTCATTCTGTTCTATTAGAGGCTATATCCTCAGTGAAACTATAGTCCCATATCTTTTCAGACTACTTCCAATAATGTCTTTTTGGGCCTACAACTTGCCATTTTCAGTCATTCCACTCGAACTAATTCGTACCTCCTAACAGGTATTGTACTTGGTCGGTGCTACACATGGCCAGCCCACCTAAGTTTATTATTTCTCATTTCATCACCTATTGGTACCATACCTAAATTCTCTCGAATAGATTCATTATGAATTATATCCCTTCTTGTCATGTCATTCATCCATCTCAACATCTTCATCTCCACTACACTCATGTTTGACCCTAATTATAAAACTTAAATCCAAAAATAAAGTAGATCAAGTGGATCTATAGACACTTGAATATAGACTGTCCAGATATCTTTTACAAGAAACACTATTTTTAGGACTTAATCTTTTTTTTTTTTAATATCCACACATCTTGAGGTCCGGATGATCAATTTAAAAGTTTTTCAACTTCAAGATATTCTTTTCTATTGGATTTTTTATGTGGACCTTACTTCTATTATATAAGATTGCAACCTTATATAAATTTTTTCCTTTCACATTTGTTTCTTGTGAAAATATTTCCCATGAAATAATTCCTTCATGTGGTTAGGTGTGTGATGGCGCCAGTGCATTTTTACACCAATCGAATTAGTATGAAAATATTTTCATACCTAACCGAATTCAAAAAAAATTTTACGTGAAAATAGTTTTACACAAATTAAACGTGCAGTAAATTGACCCACTCTAAACAAAAAAAAAACACAACCTATGCTTGAAAGTAAAAGATATAATAAATAAATATGAAGGAAACAAAAGAGGGTGTTAGAGATTACCTCAACCGAGGTTCTTACATCTCACACCGAGTCACCACCTTCCGTTAGTACGGGATCTAATGGTTAACCTTCAATCTCAACAAAAAAAACAAGTTTGGACAAGTCATACCAATGAAACATGAACCTCTTTGATCACAAACTCAAATCCTAGATAAATCCCCTTAAAAACCTAGTTTGAGAGATATGCTTCTATTTTCTACCGCAATCATATAGTGTAAAACCTTAAATAGAGATGAGAGAAGATGAAAGAGTTGAGAGACTTGAGAGAACCACCATGAGAGAGATATCAAAGATGAGAAAAAGTGGGGCATGTCCCCCCCTTTAGGGCTTTCAAGAGAGTGAGATCTCAAAGATGAGAGAGTGAGGCATGCCTTTTTAGGTATCTTGTAGGAAGGAGATAAACTTTCTTAAGAGAAAGATTTTCCCTAAAGTGGGGCATGCCCCCCTTAGATGGCTGAGAGAGAGATGGAAAGTTGTATAAGAGATAAGGTATAGAAATTTTGGATAGGGTATTTCCTTTTTTATAATGTTTGAATGGTTTTAGGGTTTTTTTTGGCTTGTCACTTATGTGAGATTTAATATGCCCTATTGATCTGGGGTGACTTGTGGGGTGAGAGATGTAAGCTTTCCATTCCATAGATGTGTCATCAACATCTTATGGATGGTGTTAGACTATTATCTCCCACTTCCTAAATCATTTTCCTTTCAATTAATTCAAATAAAAAATTAATATATCATAATATTATCATTTTTTATTTTATGCATAAGTCTTCTCATACATTCCAAAATATCATTCAAATATTCGTCAAGGCTTTAAACTTTCTAAGATCAATACTTTCTTATATCTCAAACCTCCAAGCTTGATCACAAAATTAGAAGGTGTTATAGTGGGGCGTGCCACCCATGGTGGCACATAATGGCCCACACCCAATATGCAATGGTGGGCCCAAAAGACCTATTGGGCCTCCTATGCAATTTAAGTTATTTTTATAATTTTAGAAATGTACAAAATCATTATTTAAATATTCAAATCATTATGAAATCAATATTTCTATTTTTATAAATTCAAATTTGATAAATAAAATATCCAGATATTTATAATAAATAACAATTCTAAAAACTAAGTATAATTTTAAAATAAATAAAAATTAAAAACTTCGATGAGAAATGAGCTATATGTTCTAGGAATAAATATCCATTGGGGCACTCCATGTCCAACCGCGAACTGCGAACCATACATGCTTTCTCAAACCAACCCAACGTTGCCCATGACCCACAATCTATGCAGAATCACTAGTGGGTTACCAAAGTCTAGCCAATGGGCAAGAGGTCGCAGTTCCAATATATGGATTTCAGGTCCCCCTGGAGACGAAACCAAGGGCATCCTGACCTGATACAATCCATAACTCGATAGTGCACTAGGAGTATCTCTCGTACATGCACACGCTTCACCTTAAAAAGTTGTATGTTTTCCCGAAAATGGCTATCGATGTGCATGTTGTGTGATGGTCCAAATGATGAGGCTTTGACCCCATCTCTGAATGACTCCATCACACACAATGGTCACACAGTCTTTTGACGCACTCATCCGGGCATACTTCGACCTCATCAAAGGGTAACCCATATAATCCTTATCGATACGATTATCAGAGTCCAGGTAACATGAGTTTTTCCCAACCAGACCGACCTAGCATATCGAGAACGGTCTAGTATCAGCAAACATCGTTTGCTTAGTATGATCCACAAATGACCACACTCCCACTGAATTTATGTTTCACTATATAATTTCATTCTACAAGTAATCTTGAGTCCTTTAATGGCTACTCTCACCTAACAACTGAAACTACCAAAAAAAAAAAAAAAAACGGGTCCATCTTCGAAAGCTCATAAATGGTGAACTACTGAGCATCATGTATTGACAATGAATGATTTGTATTGATCGTTCCTCCTTTTCCATATCTATTTTGGCGGAGGGTTCATCAAAACCACAAGGAATAGAATGAAAAGATGATGTTTGGGCTCGTTGTTTGTATGCCATATGCATTACTGTGTCGTGTCCTTTTTTATTTGGGAAAATATCACATGAGGTGTTGAAACCCTACACACTATCATTATAAGGGTTAAATGATACCAATCTATTTGTTTTTCTTTAAATTCTATTTCAATGAAGCACTTCCTCAAAAAATTAAAAGTTTTCGTAATTTGCTAGGTTTGAGGTATGGGGGCATTTTGATAAATTTACACACAAAAGGTTACCTCTGTCATGCCCCTTTGGGGTAAAACTACCAAAATGCCCGATCGTTGTCTCATAAAAATGGGCAATTTAGGAACTCTTTAAGGATTTTTTTGAGCAGGAATTTGGCTAAATAGGAATTTAGCAAACTGTGATCATGTGAACCCTTTAGTGACATTGTAGGGATTTCAGCTCCTTAATTGATATTTCCCTTTTCCATGGTTTATTCTCGCTTTCGCGTATTTTATTGTTTCAATGTTATTGCAGGCCGTTGTAACAACATCTACCATATAGTGGTATATGGCATAAATGATGGATGATGGAGATTAATAATTGGTCTGGAAGTTTAATCTCAGTCATGCTTCAATTGAAAGTGATGGTGGACATTGTTGTGGTGTACCTTATATTATTCAGCACTTTCGTATGGTATGCTTTTCTAAATAATTGAGTTCATTCATTAGGATGCCCTACATGCATTGCTTTATATAAACACTTTTGGAAGGGACATATAAATATGCTCCTTGTGTGCTACTTTTCTAGAGGACAAATATCTCGGGATGAGCATTTGATGAGTCTGCTGGTTCATTTATTTACATTCGTTCCCCCTCTTAAGTGATTTTGGAACCAAAATATTAGGGGTTATCTCTATAATAGCTAACATAAATCCGGTAAAAGATAAAAAAAAAAAAAGGAAAGGGGCTGGGTTGTGGTGGTAGTAGCATCCCCATACCTAATTAGCAAGTTGTACCTATGAAAAAATCGGTAGGGTCTGTCTTCCATATTGAATTACCCAAAAAAATTATAGTTTTTTTGATATTTTTTTATTATGCATTTTAGTTTTGGGATTGTATATAATGAAGTCATTTACCTTTGATACAAGGTGGTCACAATTTTTTATAACCATTTGATGTGAAATTTGATAACTTGAATGTGTTATAGAATTCGAAAAAATTTCTTTTCAAATTTGAGCTTAATCAATGGAATAATTGCAGCCACCTAATTTCACATTCAATGGTCAAGATTATTGTGACTTCTTTGTATCAAGGGTAAATGATCTCATTCTATACTTTCCCTTTAGTTTTTTGTGAAGATAGATGTTAGATGAATTAGGGGAGGCAGCTTTTGAACTCTTCGTAAGTATGAAATTATTGCAAATATTCGTCCAAATCGATGACAAAACCTTCCCATCCTGAAGCCAGCCATAATACTGAATAAGATGCAGAGACGTCGAATGGGTTTATTCACTGCTTTGTTTAGATAGGCTTCTTTGCCTCTCTAAAAACTTTTTATGAATTTCTGAAATTTTTACTGTAGATTGAAACTATAATTTATGAATGATTGGACCCCGTACTTCAAGTAGCATTAAGTAGAGGATAAAATGGTTTACTTTTACTGTTTAGTTATAGTTATCATTGTGTTGGTGGTCCACACAACAATATTTGGTAGAGCCGTTTTGCATAAGAGCAGGTAATAAAACATACTGTCTCAAGGACAAGTTTTAGGGCAGGTATTGTATACAGAGGCATCATGACGGCTTAATCATTGAGTTCACATTATTTAAATTTCCCAATGTTGGGCTTATAGACCTCTAGTGCCGACCAATGTTTGGAACTTGGGATCGGGCTACGGACACAGCCTGGTCCGAGCAGAGTCACTTCAGCTCACTAGAGTAGTATACATAGGGTTGGCAATGGGTCGGGTCTGGCTGGACCTGGACCCGGACCCGATCTTTCGGGTCTAAAATTGGGACCCATACATGGACCCAAAGTCGGCTCCATTGCTACCTTATGATTATGAGCTTTTTTATTTATTTATTTATTTATTTATTTTTATTTTAACCACCATATACCCATATACCCATATTATTGGCAACATTGTACAACATTTATAAATGGGAAAAGCTTATATAGAGCCGAGGCTCTAAACAATCAAATTAGAGCCTACCTTAAAAATTTCATTAGAAGTGGCTCTTTTGATGCCCAAATATCCTCAAATTGATCATCTCGACATCAAGATGCATGGACACGAGGAAAAAAAAAAAAAGATTTCAAGATTTGGAAATAGTATATTTTGTAATATATTTTTGGACCGTCAATTTTCAAGTTTTCATAGATCTGCCGATCTACACTATTTTTAAAGCTTTAAACTTTATAAATAAAAATAAAAATATATTTTAAAGCTATCACAAAGATTTCCAGTATTAAAACCACATTTCTCAATACTAATTGAACGTAGGCTCTAATTTGATCGTTTAGAGCCTAGGCTCTATACAAACCGCACCCTTTATAAATACCCACATATACCCATATTATTTAGGTCGGGTCCAGGTGGGGTTCGTCTGGACCCGGACCCGGAACCGAACCCGAGGTCGGGTCTCCTCGAATCCATTGTTGTCCCTAAGTGTACATGGCACAAAAAGTCCTAAAAATTTTAGAAGGAATGGAAAACATTATTAAAAAAATAAAATAGTAAATGTCAAACAAAATAAAAAAAAAACAAAAAAAGTTCAAATAAGCAAAAAAATTGATTCATTTAAGAAAGGGAAATTTTTATATAACGTTGCAACCTTAAAATGTAGAAATAAAGACGCACCTAAAAAATCTATTAAAAAAATTTGTTTTAATGTTGAAAAATCCCCTAATTGATCATCTCGACATAGAGATGTATGAATATGGAAAAAAACAAAAAAACGTTTCAAAAATAGTACATATTGCAACACATTATCTAGACCATCCATTTTCAAGATTTTCATATGTTTATAGATCTACTTGATTTTAATCATTTATGGAGTTTAAAATTTTATAATTAGAGATGAAAATAGATTTTAAGATAATCCTAAAAAATTTTTACACCAAAAGTATATGCTATAATAAAACCCTTAATTGGAAGTACGTCTCAATTGGATTGTTTAAGGTTGCAACCTTATAAAAACCACACCCTCTAAGAAAAATCCGTAAAAGGAGAATGGAGCATGTGATAACCCAGCAATCATTGTCAAAACATACAAGCTTCACACTTCAATATATTTTTTGTAGTTGTTTTATGTTTAGTACCCCGAGTTTTGCATGGGTACCAGTTGGGCCACTGGCCCGAGTCCCCGAGTGGACTCGACCGAGTCATTGAACACTGTTACCAACCTTCTCTTTTAAGGAGTGACTAAGAAGCAAGACTAACCTCGGTCTCATGGTCGGACTCGTTTTCTAAATTCTTGTATCAATACCACATTGAAGAAAAAAATATTCATTAATCAAATCATTTACTCCGGAGTGGGTGGGAGTGTGTGAGATCATGTCAAGAAATGATTAATCAAACACGACAATAATATAATATAGAGTCCCATTATATATGCCAATCCCAACAACAATAAAGGAAGAAAATCTGTTGTCTTTAAGAGAGAGAGAGAAAGAGGATGAGACTCCTGATCCCTATTAGGACACTGGCCCCACAATTTCTTAACTACTTCTATTAAGTGTATTTAATTGGAGAGAAGGGCTGTTCAGTAATTGTGTCCAACCACCGGATTCCACACAGTACACCTGGAGGAGGTATTAAGGTGGTTCATGCGTATTAAATTCAGGTATGGTATGGTATGGTAACATCAGTTAGGTAATTACATCTGAGAACCAATCAACCGTTGATCTTGAATTTTCAGGGATGGATTCAACTTTCAAACATAAAAATGTTAAAGAGGGAAATCAATGCTCGCGGCTCTGAGCTTCCAATTGACTTAAAGCATCATAGCTTAAATGCGAAACAGATGCTATTCACATTTAAGACTGATCAAATACTAAAATAGGGAAACAACACTAAAGAGGAAGTAATAACAAACGAAAATCAACATATTTTTGGGGAACATTTCTCCAGAATTTCAAAACTCTAAAAAGACCTTGTTAAGGTGCAACAAGAATTGAGCATATTCCCAATTTCCCAATATCAATGTTTTAAAACCCGGATTGGCCGGGTTAACCGGCCATTTGGGAAAGGAGTTTGGACCCGTGATTTAGAATCGGTCAAAAAAAATTGAAAAATAAAAAAGAGGTAAACAATAAAATTATAAATCGTGAGAAACTGGTGATTTGGATCACCCCAACACCCATAGTTTTCTATGCTTATTCTCAGGGGTAAAACACCTCCATTAACAGATTTTCATAATCCAAATCTTAGAACAACCTTGGAAATTTGGAAATATGGACAATATAGAAATTTTTACTTTTTTTGAGGATGTACCTAATTGATATGAAAAATCTAAAAAGCACACTCTTAAGTGTAATGTAATATTTAGCCCCTTTAGTGATATTGTGAGGGGTTTCAACCCCTTTTTTTATATTTTCTCTTGAAACTAAAATTAAGTCCCCTAGTACTCAGATTGGACCATTAAAAAACCAGAAAAAACTGCTAACACTCTCAGGATGAGATTTTTCTCAAGCAAATATAAGTTGCAGAATCAGAGAACATCCCCAAAATTTGAGCTCCAAAATATCCGTCTGTTAGGTTTTTTTGCGTACATTTTACTTCGACGAGAGGATGTAACCTTGGTCTCGTAATTCAATTGCAGCATGATTACCTATTTCAACGAGAATGGCCGCTTTTCCTATTCCTAACTCCTAAACATCGAATAGGGGTGGCAATGAGCCGGGTGGCCTGGCCTGGTCAGCTTGGCCCTAAATAACTAGAGCCTGGTCCCTTATTTTTACTCATTTTTACATGGTTTTCCTTTAATTTTGGTCGGCCCGGCTCCAGGCCTGGGCAGGCCCTGGGGAATAGGGCTGGACTAGGGCCATAGATGGCCCGGCCAACAAACGCCTAACAAAAGTAATAAAAGATGAAAGGTTAAAAAGTCACTAAAGCACTTAAAAAGTTTTATTAGCACGAAAGAAATCACAATCCCCCCATAAAAGATCATAGAAAACCTTCTTAAAGGAAACTATGAACATAAATTTACCAAACAATTATCAAACATCGTCGATACAGAACTCAAATACATTTCAGCTTCATACCACCCAATCCGCCAATTTCCACTCCTTTCTATTAATATAAAATTTTCTCAGGAAAATAGACCTCTTTATTGAACAGGCACAAACACATTTCTTTCTTCCTTTTTTTTTTTGAATGTTAACTTTAGAACTGGTGAGATTAGAAATCAATACGACTATTATTGTAACCCCATGTACTCTCCATATCCATGCCATACAACACTGTATTGTGCTTTTTGTAGGTAGTAAATTGCAGGCTCAGTAAAATTCTACTGCACATAGCTATGCCTATATTTGATATAGAAACCAGTGCTTTAAAGTTACAAACACTAACACTAAATACCCAAGTAATAATTGCTCCCAAGACTTACAAATCTGTTATTGCCAGAGAGAGAAATTTCCCATTTTTTCGTAGTAAATTTCACATCCCCAGTTTGTTCATTATGGAGCATCATGTTCCATGATACTGTGACGAAGACAGTAATATTACAAGTAATCTTCAACACATCAGTATACCACCATCTTTACATCCTGCATGCTCCCCACTACAATTCATCCACCTCCAGTGTCATATACACTAAGGCTTCACATTCCTTTTGTATTGGAGGAGCAAGAATGAGCTATATAGGCATCACAGTATCTATCATATACCATAGAGAGAGAATCTCACTTCATCTCCAATTTAAGCTACAAAATCATGCAACAAATGAGAGGAACCAAACCTGTGCCTTCGGTTAATGCAATCGTACTCTGACGAGTCAGAAACAACTGAATTTGTGTTGTATATCTCATCCCCTCTCACACCCATGTAACTTTGCTGACCATCACAGTGTTGCAACCCCAAAGTAAGAGAAACACTGTTCTTTCCAGCTGCAAAAGCTTCTCTCTCTAACCTTGGAGCTGCATAAGCTTCTCTCTCTAACCTCGCATAATCATAAGACATGAACCTGCCATGGCCATCAGGGTGATGGGTCCCTAGGGCATCTTGAAGAAGGCTGCAATCTTCATTGTTGGACCTTCGTTCCCTTGATGGATGACCATAACTTCCACTATCGTCTCCATGAGCAACGGTCCCTGCCATTTCGGGCTCGGACCCGAGCTCTGATTTCGAATCCTTGAATTGGGTTAGTTGGTGCCTCTCTGTTGAGCCCACTAACTCTTCTCTCTCATCAGATGCCCTTCCCTCTCCATTGCCTTTAGTGGGAGCCTTCTCAGATGAGGAGATCGAATCCATCTCTGCCTCACCTATCTCCTCTTTGTACATTTCCTCGACCATGGGCTTCCAAAGCCTAACACGAGCATTTATGAACCAGTTCGAAACCTGCATTGAAAAGGAAAAAAAGATGAGAAGAGAGCCAAAGAAGGGACAACCAAGTTATGGTGGGTGTTACCTGGCTTCTGCTCAAGCCTGTCTGCCTTGCCAACATTAGTTTATCTGAGTCCTTGGGGTAGCTGGTGAACAGATGGGCCAAAAAGAAATCAGAAATTTAGTATGCTCAGTGATAGCCCAACACATGAGAGAGAGGGGGGGAGAGAGAGAGATATTCCTATTAAGACCTGAAATTCATAATGCGATAATTATAAGTATATATATATATATATATATATATATATATGTATTGGGGAGTGTTTAGGCTGGAGGGGGGAGCTTACGGGTGGAGGAAGTGCTCAAACAACCATGCACGGAGGATCGATACCGAGCTTTCAGGTAGGCCTCTCTGTGGCCTCCATGCATGCTGCTGCATCATTCCAAGTTGTTGCAGAGCTCTCTGTTGTCTGAGCTGCTGGTCAACGAAACGTAATCGGGATAGGCCCCCCCCACTTTTGTTGCTTGTTGGGTCTTGTTCACCTAAGCTCTTTTGGGTTGCTCGAATTTGACCATTTATAGCATCTCTCAAGCAGCGGAAGTGTTTGGAAATAGTTTGGAGTGCAAGGGCAGTGTAAGTCTTAGCAGCCCCAGCTCCTGCAATGGCATCGAAGGAAGAGACCACGATCTGCATTTGATGGTAATATTGTTTGTATCTCCTGTCAACCTGCAAATAGCCCACAAATGATGTTGATATTAATAACTGTGTGTGAAGTTCAGTAAGCAACTAGTCGTTTTGGCCCCCCTAAATGGCACTTCCAAGGCTGATCGAGGAAGAATTTATTTTTTTCGAATGAATTGAAACAGGGGAATGTATTTAAGTCTGTGCTACTTTGTGCATGTGTGTGGCATGATGGACCAATTCTATTAAGCGAACCTATTTGTTGTAACAAGAAAACGGATTGTACTGGGTTTCACTGGTATTGTAACCATGCTAGATCAGAAGTTACCAAGGTTAATCTTATGAACAATAGAAAGTAAACACACTCCAGTTTCATGCAAATTGGATACAAGAAAAAGAGGCAGGTGATTTCCCTATTACAAGAAAGGAAGTAAAAGGAGTTTCAGGCATGCAACAACAAGTATCTCACTGCAAGCCTGCAATAATTAAATTGTTGAAAGCTTGCTAATGTGATCTGTATATAACAACTCTACGCAAGTAAATGTTATAAGCACCGTCAATGTCATATGCATATGAGACAGCTAGCAAATATGGTTCGCAAAGGGAAAATATTTTGTGAAAAGCTATGCCACCAAGGAGTACAGCCAGTGGTTTTCTAATTCCTATAATGGAGTGTCAAAATGATTTTGCAATGAGATGGAGCTTGGAAAGTTGGATGTACCATTCAATTTAGGGACCACCTCAGTTAGTTGGGAAATTCACTGCACATATCATAAAAGCTCGAAATGATCTTATCCATATGGAGTATGAAAAAACAAAACACAAAAGCATCATGGGAAATGTAAGCAAGTCATGGGAAGAAAGGATAATAAACAAGGTGAAGGTTAGACCAGCCAAATTGAATTCACCTCTAGATATGGAACATACATGTCAAAACAGTAGCATGTGAACTCCTGGTATTGGATATACTAGGCGCAACTTGTGCACCACCCAGTAACCTAAGTATCGCTATCTTAGGTTCATGTATAGGTACATACTTTCAAGGCATTACCCATGCAGATAAACATATAGAAGCAGCAGTCAGCTTCCATGAAACTGAAAGACCAGCAAGCCACCTATGAAGGACTAACACCAAAGATCAACAATCTAAAAGGCGCCACCATACATGCAAACCAACGGCAAGAAAAGGGGAGTATTCAAATGCAACGGACATTAGGGTATGAAGGGAGCAGACATTCGGTGCTGCATAATTTGTTCTCTAAACTCTTTTCACATCTTGGGTCCATAAAGCCGTAAAAATACATCCTCTTTACAAGGGATTTGTTCAAATTATATTACTGCCTGTTAAAAGTGACAAAACCAACAAACACCTAGGGACATCTATCTACAGAGAAAATAAAGACAACTACAAAACCTTACAATTCTTTATTTCTCAACAAACTTTGAACAATCAAGCACTTTATAAGCAAGGAAATAATCAGAATTTCTGCACCAGCAAGATCCACATATCACATACAGGCTAGAAGTAACTGGGACCAAGGCATGCACCTGCCATCCAGCTTCGAATGTCCCATCATGGAAAGGAGCAAGTTGCGAGAATGCATGCACAGAGGCTATGTGGATGGGACATGGGGTTTAGGAAGGCAGGACATAAATAAACAACGACCAGATGAGAAGAATCCAAGTCTAATAAGAAAGTAAAAGAGTGGCGAACGAGGTGTAAATGTCAAATAAGTTAATTTAGATAAGGGAAAGGATATATGTCAAGAAGCGTCAAATAACTTCCAAGCGTGAATCAAATCAGCGATTGAAAAATGGCTGGTCGATTTGGAATCGCCCTAGTTGAGCCGAGATTGGGGGACCCCCATTTCAGGAGGGCTCTGAACTGGGAAATCAATCCGAGTTGAACTGAACCAGTTGGTTCACTATAGTGAACAGGCCGGCTCTTCTATGGTCTCAGGTGATTCCTCAGTCTCGAGCGCGTCTTGGGGAATCACCTAAGTCCAATAGTTTCCCCCCTTTCAGGCATTTGAGCCCTATTTCTTCAATTTTGGGGCTCATTTTGGCTATTTCAGCCCCAAATTTTAATTCCATAGCCATTGTTCACGACCTTTTATATCCTTTTGGAAATTTAGTGCTTTTTTCATTTTTCTTTTCTTCCTTTATTTAGGGGAGAATTGCCAGAAATTGGCAATCCAACTTGGGACTCACCAGTGGAACTTGCCTCTGGCCATGTCCAAGTCCATACCAGATTCCAAGCTTTCAAGCTCTGGATCAAATGAATTTTTGTAATACTTAAAAACCAAATAATTATCAGCATAAGTTAACATTGTATTCTCTCACCTGTAAGAAACTAGCAAAAATATACATATATATTTTCCTACAAAGCAAATGAGTGCCCACTTATGAACTAGGGAGCCTGAGTGAGGACACTTGGTGGAACTTCAATGTTTGCAATTAATGGCAAATATGATTCAAGATATTGGTCCCATACCTAACAACCTTGAAGAGATTTTAAGTGTTCTACAAAGGCAAAGATACCTTTAGTCTTCAGTACATCTTAGGTCTTTTCATTTCTTCTACTATCATTTCTTCTAGTATCACTTCTGCCCTCCATTTTTCTCCAAATTAGTTTTCAATCAAACAATGTGGTTTCTTTTATTCTTTTACTAGTTATGAGTCAAATAATTGTGTTGTGGGAAGCAATTCAGAATCCTATTGATAGTTTATGGCATTCCTCTTGCAAAGTGGCAAAACACTTCACAATTAAAAAAATTTCTTAACAAAAGAAAAATTTCTTAACAAAAGACCATCTTCAAAACCTTTCATTCTAATTCAGTCAAATGTTTGGAGACAATTCCTAACGCATCAACAACTGTGACTTCAATTTTGGTTTTTTTTTTTTGAAGGACGTTTTTTTTTTTGAAGGGTATTAAAGGAAAATTTTGAAAGACTCCAATGGTTATGTACAAGTCTTCGCTTGCCTACTTCCAGCCCAGCACAGAATGCCTACAGACTAGAAGCTAGCCGCCAGAAGCTCACCCTTTTGGTCTCGCTTCCAAGCATTCTGCCAGATGGCCCGGCCTGCAGCTTGTGCATGTGCTAAGTCCCACCAAAAAAAAAATTACTGAAATCATCCACCCTTATAGGATCTTAGACATGATAAATTGATATTATCTGTATCTGTAAAAACTCATTTAATGAGATTACCCCTTTACATACATGGGATTTGTGAGTGATAAATCAATTAACCCTACATTAGGTCATCTTTCCCTTCCAAATTCTGGGGTAAAGAAATTCAAGAAGAAAAAACATAGGGTCCACCCATCCTCTACACATGCTTCTCATTCTCCAATCTACCCTCCCCTCTTTAGGGCAATCTTTGGCATATTTCAATTGAAGGAAATCTGCCTAACCAACAAGAGAAGTCTTACTTTCTTCTAAAGGATAGACTGAACAACCAGATGTTCCACAAGGAAATTCAAATTGTCGCTGTTTTACTAGATCAAAGGCAGAATAATGTTGTGGGATCCAAACGTAAATCAAATGGCACCATCTCCCCATAAATTGGAGAAGTGGCCCATGGAGTGGACCAACCAGTACCCTTGGGAGGAAATTTTTGACCAAAAGATTCACAATATCAGGAAACAAGTATCATGCATATGCATGTACCAGAGCATTTGCTCCCATTTTGCCGTATTATACAACACACAAGCAATGGCAGCATATCTTATGGTGCATAGGGTGTGTATAACAATAAAATAAAGCACCCAAAACGAAACAATTGCCACATGTTATATAAGAGTTAAGCTGGTTGTGACTTATTAATAAGAAGATGAGTCATGGTTCAGTTTATAGATATTGTAGTTAACAACAGCCTTACTCGAAAAGAACCTGAACTATATTAGACCATTCATTTGGAAAAGAAAATAATTTCAAATAAATGTTTAGTTTTTCCATTTCGGCTACCCATCTTGTTAAGAACAATACAGCCTTGCGACAAAAATTATAAAGATGAAAAAGCCAAGAAAAAGTGCACAGCAGAAGGAATGAGAAAGTGTCAAACTTTTAGTACAAAGATGTCCTGGGCCTTCTCCTAAATGCATGAAGAATACCTTTTCTTTGACAAAGGTTAACCATGTAAAATCCAGCATTCATTAACTTTATGATTAGCGATGTCCCTCAGTATATTACTTGCTTATTTGGGCCTCAGGCTTAAAAAATTTGGTTTTTCACATAATTTTGCAATGCTAGGCTTTTCCTGGCCATTGGAAATGTCACGGGTCTCAACTAAAATCGAGTCCCTTAGGCATGATATTCTACCAATCCCCTTCAATGGGCAAATGGGACAGCATAATAAGTAGTATTCCGGAACCTCTGTCTTTACTGATTTCTAGTTATGATAAGCGAGTAAGGTCACAAAGCCACATAACTAGACACACTTAATACGAAATCAAAATAAAGGACACTAAGAACAAAATTACTTTATGACTAATTTGCTAGTATCAACTGGAAGCGACATATAGCTAAAATCTCAATGTGGTACTACCATAAACGATATCTGATGCTACACATCACTAAAACACGCTGCAACATAAGAGGCAACAAGAAGTTCAAGGGAATGTCTAACGATTGCACGGGACGCTGAAATCTAATTGGTGAGACAGGTATCTGCCTACAAGCTCAGGACAACTGGTGTTTGTCTCATAAAATGCGTTTCAAAACAAAGTGATATTCGAAGCAAACAAATACATCAGAAGCGCACTGCATGCATAAATATCCCACTAAACATGCCCAATTTTTCATGTGCGAGATATTATATAGGAGTACACAACTGGAAAGAGGCAATAGAATCAACACCAAATGCTTTAAGTCCTTGATCTATTCATAAGAAAAAAATGGCAGAAACTCAAGAATTTACTAGGCTACTTCCCTGTACAAAAAGAGCAAACTAGAATGTTGCTTTCACTCACCACACTTATTCAAGGTCTCTCATAAAAATCATGCAACAGCAGTACAATTCATACAAAAGACTCATACGGCAGTGAGAAAACCACCTTCAAACTAGAAAATAGATAACAATTAGAGCCATTCATTCACAATTACAATTCATAAAAATAAAAAATAAAAAAAACAAATTTACCTCATCTAGCATGCCCAAAAGCTTAGTCAATTTTGTCTGGAGGTCTTGCCTCTCAGTTGGGGACAACTCATTGGGTGCATCAGCATTCGCCTCCTGTTGGTCTGATAGATTTGAGGGGGTATTCTCACTCACTTTTAAAGCCATTGAAGCAGTGGCCATAGAAAAGCTCTTGGGTCTCCCTGACTCATTAGGCTTCAATGCATTTCCAACATTAACAACTTCATCAAGCAATTGTTGTGCAGCCTTGAGATACTTTGAATTTGATATGGTGCTTGAGAGACCCAAGAGTGCATAGGGAGCAGGCCCTGCCTCAGAGCGTGGAAGAGTTCCCAACACATCCCCCTTGAGCACCGGGTTTCCACCATTACAAGTAAAAGAGGAAGGAGGCACCTCATTGCCTAATATCTGCTTTCTTCGAGGGTCATCTTTACTCAGGCCATCTCGACCAGACTGATTAGTTCCCAAAAAAGCGGACATATCCGATAGAGTTTGTCGATACTGAAAGGAATGGACAGGAATAGCTGAGGGGATCTGGGTGCCAAGGCTTAGTGATAATCCTTGCCCTTGAATAGGTAGGTTTTGCTCATTCTGAATAATTCCCAGGGTTGGCATGCCAATTTGAGGGTTCTCATTATCGGATTGCATAAGCAATAAACCATTTCTCCCATCACGCCAGGTTGTGTTATAAGCATTGTTTTCACCAAGTCGAGAAGCAACTAAGTGTGATAATATCCTATGGTGAGATGCAGTCGCCTCCGATGCCTCAGGAGCACGTGATTCTTGAGAGAGAATGGAAGTGGGTACATGGAGGCCAACACAGTTTTGTTGGGGTTGAGAATGATGGGTTGTCAAGGTATCAGAGTAATCAGAGGGAGTGAGATAGTTCATGTATAGCATGTTTCCATTGAGAGATTGTTCGGGAAAAGAGTTAGGGCCAGGGTCTCTTAAGCAAAGGGTGGGCATGGTATCTCTCTGATTGCTCGAACCAGGAAAGTAAGTGGCCATGCCTGTCATTTTCTCTCTATAAATCACACCAGAGGTAGCAAAGCTTCAACTTTGATCAAGCAACCAATTAGGTATCCATCAATCATCTACTTAGCTGAAAAGGAAGCACAAATCAGCAATTACCCATGAAAAATCACAGCTTGAGAGAGTTTCAAGAGTTCATAATGAAAGCAACAACATAAGAAAAAGCTAAACCCAAAAAACAAAAGAGATGATTGCTTCAGTTTCCTGAAGTGCTCCCTTGGGGAAAAAGGCAATCATCAAACCAACTTGGCTCTATTTTTCATTTCTGAGATATAAACAGGCCTGTTTCAGCTGATTAAAGCTAGAAAGGAAGGAGATAAACTCGGGAAAAAGGGGTTCTTTCTGAAAGCTATCATTCTGTTTCCAAATATTGCATGAAGAAAGAGACCCACTCTAAAACACACCTTATCTAGAGGACAAAAAGCCTAGCAAGATAAACCCCAATACATAGCTCCAGCAAACAAGAGAGAGAGAGAGAGAGAGAGAGAGAGAGAGAGAGAGAGAGAGAGAGAGAGAGAGTAGTAGTAAGTAAGTAAGTAAGTAACGTACGTACGTACGTAACGTAACCGAACCGACGAACGAACGAACGAACGAAGAACGAAGAAGAAGAAGAGAGACGTAGTAG